AATGGCTAAGTGTGTATCCTGTGATTGGTTACTTCAATGTCCTTGTCACAGTTCCCCATTTGGTCCCCTAGGGAAGTGTCCACCAGATGGGGGACTTGCATAAAAGCCGGGCATGTAGCTCTCATTACAGATTCCTGCTGACCCTCAATACGGAGCTTTGTCTCGTCATTGGGGGGATTATTCGTATGGAGTATGCGTGTTCGGCTGTTTGGGAGAATATTTTATTCACATGGTTGCTGTTCGGCTGTTTGGGAGAATATTGGATTTGTTTTCTTGCTGTTCGGCTGTTTGGGGAACTAACTCATCCGTACGGCTACTGTTCGGTACTTTGGAGCGCTCAGTGGCTGCCTCTACGTTCGGTAAGGGAACGTCTCATACGGCTGTAACCCCTCTCCTACCGGGGGAGCCGTAACAGTGCCGTGGTCAGATAGATTAAAACAGCACATACCTTCAATAGCTTCACAGCCTAAGTCATGTTTCAATAGTAAGTAGTCAATTGCTGCTCTATTCTCAAAGATTGCCTTCTTATTTTCCTTGGTGTCCATAAGTAGCTCTTTTAGGGCCTGGAAAGCAGCATTTAAACCCTTTGCAAGGGAACATGCTACAGCATTAATTACATAGTTACATAGCTGAAAAGAGACTTGCGTCTATCAAGTTCAGCCTTCCTCACGTATGTTTTTGCTGTTGATCCAAAAGAAGGCAAAACACCTAGTCTGAAGCACTTCCAATTTTGCAACAAACTAGGAAAAAATTCCTTATTGACACCAAAATAGCAATCAGATGTCTCCTTGGATCAAGCAGCTATTACCCCACTAATTAGAAATTATATCCCTGTATGTTATGTTTTTGCAAGTATTTATCCAATTGCAGTTTGAACATCTGTATGGACAAAACAACCAAAAAAATATCTCACATCAGAGGTTGCTAGGCCTGGAACCCCCACTAAAGAGATATGGCCAGGGATATGTATTCAGCTTGGGATAGTAATCTGATGCTTGCATCACAGTCAGGGATAAGAGTATTTTTTACATCTCTCCTGCTCAGGTTGGGCCTGCTTAACTTGGTGACTTTAAAAGCCAAGTCAGATTTAGAAAACATAGTCATGGTCAGATGTGGGAGGGTGCAGGGGCCACCTGTTATATTATCTGGTATATATGCATAGGTAAAATTCCCGCATGAGAGAACCCATCCTGGTGGAAGCAGCATATTTCTGTGGTAGCTGTATGTTAGGTGTGGGCCTTTACAAGTAGTAATATTTAGACTGTTTTGTGTAACAGTATCTTTGGGTGATCTATATTTTATATACCTTGTATCGTTATAATTTTTACAATACTTGGTACTATCGCAGATCATATTGTTAGTAACATTTTTACAATTTGTGCTATTCCTTTTGGGTGGCAAAAATCATATGATAAGGACTTGCCTTGTATTTTTGTCAATGGTGGTCTACAGCCACAGGTAAAATACAAACATATTTCTGCAATAGTCACATTGAGTGTACAAAGAGTGAGTGGGGGGTACTTTTTTAAAGGTTTCAAAGTATATAATTATATCTCCCACTCTGGGGTATATATTTAAAATCTGGCTGCATGTTATGAGTGGTGGTTTTCCGGCCATCTAGGGAGTCAAGGGTTATTCCATCTGAGTTTTTAAACCAATAATCTAAAATCACAGAGACAGGTGTGGGTACGGATACTAGACATGCTTCTAAAGCATTTTTATTGCTGTGTAGTGGGTTAAGGCAAAAGGAAGTTAAATTAAAAGCTCTTGCTATTTGTAACCATATGTTTCCCTGCCATGCATTATTTTTAGGCCTTAGAGAGAGGAAAGAATATGTGATATAATTGCAAATGGTGAAGGATATAAACAACTTCCTGATGATTGATTTGTTGGGGTAACAAGTTTACAATGGCGGGCGTGTATCCACGTCTTCCAATTTCACTGAGTTGGGCGTAGTCAGGAGCACTTGGAATGGACCGTCAAAGTGTGGTTCAAGTCCTTTCCTCACATGCCTCTTTATCACCACCCAATCCCTAGGCTGCAGTTTGAGTTGCAGAATCAGAGTCTGGATCTGGAATGGATTCAAAGACTTGTTTATGCACCTTCCCTAATCTTTGGTGTAGGGCCTGTACATAGGCAGTCATACTACCATGCTGCATCTGGAGCGTCTGGGGAAAGTAGAGGCCTGTCTTTGGGGCACATCCAAACAGGATCTCAAAAGAGGATAGGCCATGTGTGATAATATTCCATATTAATTAAGAATGATTCATCACTTTTGAGCAAATCAAACTATTCTAGATAGTCAAGATGATGCCCGTACACAGTACTGAAAATGTTAATAACCACAAAACACAGTCATGCATAGCTTTTTAGATAGTTATGAGAACAGAGATAAAACCCCACAGATCTATAAAAACATTGTTGTGGGACTAAAAGTCTGGCCAATTGTAAGGTCCCATCCAACAGGCTCTCAGTCAACAGCTTATAACATGTGTTCTTGGTGGGTGAGAATATCATACCCTTGTTTCGCACTCTAGAATTTCGGACATTACTTGGTCCGATCATGCCCCCATAACAATGTGTATAGAGGAGTCTTTTCAGTCAAACCCAAGCAGACAGTGGAAACTTAGTGATTATTTAGTTACTGAGCTTGAGAATAAAACATTGACTGAATCAGCGATGAATAATTATTTAAGGGAAAATTCAGCTCCATATTTACAGGATACCTAATTGTGATATGCCCATAAAGCGGTTCTTAAGGGACACGTTATACAACACAGCCTCCTACTTGAAAAAAATTGGTCTAAGAATTTGAGAGATTTAGAAAAAGAACTGTATACTTTGAATCAGACTAACACAATTGGCCTTTTCTTGCCCCTTGCTGCAAAGATTTCAGATGTTAAGGTTAAAATTAACACTCTCCTGTTGGAACACACAGCCTTGATGTTTAGGTTATTGAAACAGGTTTTTTATGCTTATGGGAATAGAACTTCATTAATGTTACCTTCTAGATTACGCCACAGTGCTTTCTAATCCAGAATTGAGTATTTAATGGATGATAGTGGCATTAAAGTTACTCATCCAGTCAAGATAAGCAATATGTGTGCAGCGTACTACAAAATAATTGTACAATTTGGTTTCGGATTCCACTATGATAAAGCCGACATCTGATAAAATATACTCTTTTCTGGACAGGGTCCCTTTAAAACAGATACCTACAGATAAATTTGATCATCTAAACATCACCCCAAAAGAAATTACAGACGCCATTAATATTATCCCACAAGTCAAAGCCCCGGGACCTGACGTTTTTACCATGACTTACTATAAGTCTTTCTCTGGTATTTTTACCCCTCATTTAACTCCCTTATTCAGATATTATTGGAATGCAAGTGAAATGCCAGGGGAGGCTTTGTGCGCACAAATAGTCACGTTACCTAAACCTGGTAAGACACCTAATGTCTGCTCAAATTTTTTAGCTAATAGACTTAATCGACTTCTACCTTCCCTAATTGACAAAGACCAGGTGGGTTTCGTTATGAACTGTCAGACTCCAGATGGCACCAGGCATTTCATTAATTTGATTAATCATCTTAAATCTACTCGCACACATCTTTGCTCCTCTCTTTGGATGCAGAGAATGCATTCAATAGGATCCATTGGCATTACCTGAGGGACGTTCTGTTGCGTTTTAACATCCCAGACCCCTTCATCAAGTTTTTGTACTATACTGTCAACCAACTCCCAGAGTATCTGCGACTAGTTTTGTCTCCGAAAACTTTTCATTGTCCAATGGGACCAGACAGTCTCCATTGTCTCCACTCCTGTTTGTGTTTGTAATGGAGCCCCTGGCTGATATGATACGCTGCAGCGCAGATATCGAAGGTAAATTTTGGGGCGTGCACTTCATATCTGAGAGTCAAATCGAAGCTTAACTTTGATTCGAATTTACTACATCGGTCACTTGTAATATTGTTTCACACCTACAACACTTGTTACACAGATTTAAGTGATAGAAAACAGATTGATATTTTCTACACTAGAAACTACCAGATAACACGATGCTATATTTAAACCAGTTATCAATAGCTAAGAGGTACTTAAACAATATTGTAATTCTGGGGCAATACCCTCACAAGTCAAACTGAGAGGTCAGTTTATAGGGAAAACTGTTGCCAAGATACAATTCTAAAACTATTTCCATATGTCCTTTGCAGACTTTACATGCTGGAAAAACACAGGTGCCAACTGCTGTGGCTTTCTGCAGTGTGCATACCGGCAAGGAGGGCAGGGTTGAGGAGTGGGTGGAAGATGATGTGGAGGATGATGAGGTCCTAGACCCCATATGGAATCAAGGTCATTCGAGTGACGTGTGCAGTTTGGAGGAAGAGGCGCTGGTCGCACAGAGGCACCAGCACAGAAAGAGGGAGTAGGGTGCAAAAGCGGAGCGCCTGCCCCCTAGCGCTTGTCGGCATGTATTAGCTCGAGAATTACCAGTTATACAAATAATACATGTAGCGATCAAAGGATCCATAATAGAGTTGAGCGAACCCGAACTGCAAAGTTCGGGTTCGTACCAGATATATCGATCCATTCGTAGTTTCACAGTCAGATGGACATTCCGGTGACCAGGACCCAGACACTATCTGGGCGGCGGTCAGATGACCAGGACCCAGTATGCCTGATGTTGAAGTTAGGAGTCACAGCGTGAAATGGATTAGCAGGGTCTGGTGCAGGGTAACCGCAGGCCCCCTGGTGTTGCGCACCAGCGTTTGTGCGGCCACATACCAGGACCCTGATGCAGCTTCAGTAAAAAGAGTACTGGATACCAGAAGCCATCACCAGACTGTTCCGCAACTTGGAACAGGATGTGACATTCACTGTAGCGGCTGTGCGCACTTTAGGCATTGTCACCCTGCTGCTGCTCGCCTCTCTGCGCTGCAGCGTAACTTCGGCCTTCCCGCTCACTGCCTCATGAGTGTGCGAGCAGCAGCAGGCGATAGTGGAGTTTCAGCTGCAGCACGCACGGGTCAGTGGCTCTGCACCAGACTTCCTTCCAATTGATCAGAGTTAAAGGATTTCAAGTGGACTCTAAAGAGTCTTGTATTGTTATTTGTCGTCACTACCTTCCCAAGTCGGGAGTGGGTCATTTGCGCTGCTGCTGTCTTCCTTGCATGTGGTAGCTGTTTCTCAGGGTCCCTGTACGGAATGGAACCCTGATTCCCCGTTACCCGTGGTCACCATGGTAGGCGCAGAAACTAGCATCGAATGTTGATATGGATGACATCTGCATGCAAAGTCGCCGCCACGGGAATTTGCGATTGGCCGAAGGTTCTCTAGAGTCAACAAAGTGCCTGCGCAACAATAATGTCAACAGCTACTCTGCGCAATAGAGTTGTCTTTTTTTTTTTAAATGTCCCAATATTTTGGGGGCTACCCCAATTAAAAAATTTTTTAAAAAATAATAAAATATATATATATATATTATACACACACAATTCCAAAGTAGAAATGGTTGCTCTCCGGTCTTAAAAAAAAAAAAAAAAAAAAATGTGTTGGAATTGTGTTTCTGTGGAGCCCTGGTGTATGCACCCCGCAGTGAAGTGCTTAAGGCGTGAGTGCAGGGGATTTTTGCATATACATACACACATACACAGTGTTGGCTATATACCGCCACGGTCACCGCCTCCTCAACCTATGGCTCACTTAGTATAAACTATGTACACATTAGCAGAGGCTTGTGAAGGCCTTTTCTCCATGCATCAGGACTGCAAGAAATGCACTGCAGGCCGCAAATGTTTATTTTTTTTGTATGTCCCAATATTTTGGGGGCTACCCCAATTAAAAAAAAAATATATATATATATATATATATATATATATATATATATATATATATATATACACACACACATACAGCATTGGCTACCTCCTCCTCCAGCGCTGCCGCTTCCACCTACACCGTCACGGTCACCGCCTCCTCAATCTATGGGTCACATAGTATAAACTATGTACACAATAGCAGAGGCTTGTGAAGGCCTTTTCTCCATGCATCAGGAGTTAAGCTCAGTTTGAACAATGAAAGAGAATACCCTGCACTCCAACCCTCTCTCAAATGGATAATTCTGGTGATCCTCCTGACAGCCATGCTTTAGATTTTGATTAATGTTAAATAAATAAAAATGTATTTAAAAAATAAATCAAAGCTAAAAATCAAGGATTCCATCTAGTGCTATTTTATGGCTCAGCTGTATTTTTAACTTTTGTTATTTTAAGTGATTTCCCTATCCACATTTGTTTGCAGGGCACTTGTCCTACTCTTACCCCCATTTTACTTGCTTTTGCAGCTCTCTAGCTCTTTACAGGAGTTTTTTTAGAGGCATTTTTGTGGCCAAAAGTTCGGGTCCCCATTGACTTCAATGGGGTTCTGGTTCGGGGTCAAGTTCGAGACCGAACCCGCCTGACCCGAACATCCAGGTGTCCGCTCAACTCTACTGTCTACTTGTAGGGTGGGGCTCCTGGCCAGTCTGACAACTACCGCATCTACGTTAGGGGCTGAGTTCCATGTCTCTGCATCCTAATTTCTTATTGGATATAGCCTAGAAAATCTTCTTCTGACAGAGAGTTTAATTTCTGATGAGAACCATTCATACTTAATCAAATTATTGATGGTGTCATGCACAGGGTAAGAAGCTCTCTTTTTTCTGAGGTCTGTAAAGAAATGACTGGAGGTAGAATGTTCTTCCTTCTGAGTTTAAAATATGTGTAACTTAGGTTTAAAGTTTGAGTACCCTTGAGATGAGATGATCCACCTCTGCTGGTTCAATAAATTTTGGGACCGGATGAGTTTCCTCCTCAGAAAAAGATGCAAATTCCCTGTATGATTCTGATTCCATAAACTAATCATCTGAGTCATTTTCGGAGAGATTAAGAGAATTTGGATATCTGGGCCTTTTGCAAAAATGGCCAGCTTCCTTGATACCTTTTGATACTGCCTGCTTGATGAACTGCATGATGTCATTACTTGGTTGAGATGGGCCTGCTGCCTCCAATAAGCACTCAGCACAGAGGTGTTTTCCTTTCATGGCTCTCATCGCAGGCCTCACATGCATCCTTCCCTTTAAACGATCCAGATGCTCTTTTCCCCATAGAACTGTCATAATAGGGGATCATTTGTATGCACTCTTATGTGAAAAAAACATAATGCATGGTTTACCTACACGTCTTAGAATGTGACCTTTTATTTTGCGAGGAGGAACAAGAATCCCTGGAACGGGATCTTTCCTTGTCCTTCAGAGAGGAAAGAAAAGAAAAAAGAGAGAGAAATAAAGAAAGAAAGCGAAAGACAGCCTTTAAAATCAAGACGTTGAAGGTTGAAGAAAAAAAATGATCCAAATGAAGGATAACCAACATTTGGAACCCAAGAATGGTACCAGAAAATTGACTGAAAGAACCGACTGTGCATGCACAAACATTGTTGGTTGTGTGTGTGTGTATGTGTATATATATATATATATATATATATATATGTGTATATATATATATATATATATA